GGGCAGGTGTGCTGCTTTTTTCTCTTATTTTCGTTTAATGCTGTGCTTCATTTGGATGGACAAGTTATAGATGTAAAGGACAACAAGGTCTCTCTTCCTTTCACCTGTGTGCCAACAATGAGAACTACTGTTTATTTTATTTGTTCTGCTCTCAATTCGACTTAATGAGCATTCCGTGTTTCTGAGTAGAATCCATTTTTTTTAAATGTAGCACCAAGGAGTTATATGGTAGGAGTCTAGGAAGTCCAATATGCTAGCAACATCATTTACCAAGTTCATCCTCCACTGAAACTGATATTACAGTAGATATTGAAGTTGTTCTCCTTTAGGACATCTGTGATTTGATTTCTAGCCAAACTATCCAAAATATGCATTAAGTGGTGCTCCAAGTGATGACAAGTTGGATAAAATGATTTTGGGCCCTAAAGAGAAGGGGATTTGCAGGATTGCTGCTTTTTTGAATCTCTTGGTTAATTTCAGGAGAAAGTGAACAATATGACTTTTGAATTAATGGAAAACCTATTTGCTGAATTCAAGAATTCTCTTTTGTATTTTTAATATTTTGCTGTGAAGACGAATTTCTTGACTGGATTTTCCGGAGCGTAAAACATTTTGTATTTTGCGAAATCAATGAATATGCAACAGTTATCAGCCACACTTTCACAATATTGGTGGATCTGGATGCTGATGCTATGGCCATCGACTTAGTAATATTGTTTGAACCTTTTGGGATGTTCTTGTAACCCCCTTTTCCTTTTGGGGAATATCATTTAATTTTTGGTTTTGCAGAGAATTTTCACTTCGTTTTGATTTAGAATATGTGGGAAGCTAATGAATTAGATTAATGGAATTCGTTTGCAAATTACATAGGAAAATTTTATTTCCAACATATTGTCCAGAGTTCAGAAGTGAGTTTAAGTTGCAGTCTTCAGGGAGGTGAGTCTAGTTGCAGGCTTGCAGCCTTCAAACTGTTGGTAGAAACGACCATAGCTACTCTATATGTGTGTGCTATTCAATCTGAATCTGTTTCACCTCTTGAAGTGTTTTACATGTTAAAAAGAAACAAGGAAAAATCACGTTTGAGGTTTGACACTGACCTTCTCTACTCCTCTTTCGTCCCAGCTCCTCCCTTTTCTCAATCTTTTGCTTAAGACCTGAAACAGCCAGCCATTTACTTTTGCTCCCATAAGACACAGTGACCTGTATCATTGCTGACATGGTGTATGCTTTCAAGGGAGTTTTATAATGGTGAGTGAATATGCTGTGGAAAGCCCTAATTGACTTGGAATTTTGGTTCCAAGTCATTGATGTCCCAGGCATAGTTTAGTTTCGTTTCCTCATTGGTCCAAGATAATTGCGTGTCTTGAGATGAAAGTATGGAAGTTCTTTCTTTCACTTTATTGCATGTCATGTTTAAGCATAGTAACTTGATCATCCTTTCTCATCTTTCTTGGTAAAGACGAGAGAAAAGCACTCACGTGTCCTTGCCATAGGGATGGGAATCCTCTTATTAACTTTTTCTTATTCCTTTTATTTTCACTTGGATAGCCAAGGGAAATAAAAAAGAAATCTTGAAACATTTTATTGGTACATGTTTTGGTGGGAGAACTAAAGAAATCAGAAAGTAGACTAGACGCATCCGTTTAAGGCTACCCACTTTGGTGGATCTTACCAAATTTTCACCTGATTAAAAAGAAGAAAGAAATTAGAAAGTAGATGATGAATATTCTAATTGATTGGTATAACTGCCATTTTCCAGGCTTTGAAGGATTTCCTTTGTCATGCTGAAGGTGAAGTGAGGTCCTTGGCTCAACTTTATTCTGGTGTGGTAGGTGTTATTTGTAACAGAAACAATGTGGTCTTTTTGTGTCTGTCCAACACTAAGATGTTCCTAATGGTGTGCCTTTCTCTGTACCTAACAGGGTAGAAATGTTGATTCATTGATTCTTTACTTTGGAGAAGACCCAGCTCGTTGCCCTTTTGAACAAGGTAATGTTTGATAAGTCATCGTCCTTATATAAGAAAAGTTGAATGCAACAACGATGTTGATTAAGTTGTTATCTACTAATTGGCTCTAATTCTCGTTTGTTTCTTTAAGAAGATATATAATTGGTCTTACTGATAGATAGCTTGGTTGATCAAATAACTTGTCAGCTTCCTAGCTTTAATTTGTGTTCTCTGTGCTTCAGATTTCTGCGACATTATCGCAGCTATCTGATGCTTTTATTCAGTGCCTTGCGGTGTTGTGCGTTTGTATAGCTTAAATTTTTTGAATTATAGCCGTGTTGTTCGTTTGTATGGCTTAAAATTTTTCAATTATACTATTCTACATTGATACAGACCATGCAAAGTGCGTCCTGTTGTCATGTGAACTTAACTCCATTTCTTTTCCCCCTAGTTATCTCAACGTTGCTAAACTTCCGAAGGATGTTTAATCAAGCCCTAGAGGAAAATCGCAAGCAGATTGAGTTTGAGAGAAAGAAAGCAGAGAAGGAAGCATTGGAGAATCAGAAAACGAGTCATTCAGAGAAAACTTGACCCATTCTGCATAGTCTGAAATAATGTACTCTTATATGAAAACATCATCATGGCAAAGCTTGGCCGAGATTGAAGATCCTGGGGAGCGAGAAATCAGTTATCTGACTGTATAAAGACGATGTACTTTTTCTGTGGAAAAACCGGAGATACGTTGGTGTAGGTTTGAATGCTTCCCAGTGTTCCTCTTTTATTATTGAGAGAGGTAATCTCGAGAACTGCATGCTCTTGCTACTCCTTTTCTGTCTTTGATCCTTCCTAACTTCTTTTTTCTGGTTTAATTCGTTTCAATTATCCTGCAGAATCGGGGAGTATGCAGATGGAATTACGTTGGGGCGGTAGGCTAATTGTACATACTAGGAAAAGAATGTAGAAATTCTTGGAGGTGATGCCTTTTTTTGTTCTTGGTGATAACCTAGTGCTAATAGTTTCATTCTTTATTATCTGTATTTCATGCTGATGATCCTAGTTTGATCTAGTTTTGTGGTCATCATCCTGTTCAATAAAAATAGTTGTTTATGTTAAGTTCCTTTATAGCGATCTCTCTCTCTCGTCAAGTCATTTATTTTTCGACATTTTGTTTGTGTGATGTTCTATATGTACGCCTCTCTCCCTCGTGTATCATTCTGATAATTAGGTTTTATTGAAGTACCAAGACTCGGATACTTCAAATTCCTTATCTTGCTTCTGCCTCAAGGATGAGATGTATCCGACTTATGAAAGGCTACAAGTTACATTTACTTAGCAGTGTAAACAATGAGTGTAATTGTTTATTAGTAGTAGTTTGTAATTGTAGTTCAAGATCCCATGTGCATGACGACCTGAGTTTGTGAAGCAAACAGCTCTTATGCAAGAGAGTTTTTGGCTGCATTAAAGGATAGTTCGGTGCACTAAGCTCCCGCTATGCCCGGGGTCTGGGGAAGGGTCTTATAAGAGTCTATTGTGTGCAGCTTTATACTGAATCACGTGCCGCAAACGCTCAGCTCTGTAGTGCTAAAGTTCAAAAAGTTACCAAGAAACTAATCTTGCTATTACTCCCATTATCCTATCAGTTTGCGCACTCTTGCAACTTTTCATGCATCTTTTCACCCTATAATAATGATAGTCTCGAGCCCATCACGACGACTAACACGAAGTGTTCACTTAGCTAAGATGCCATGATACCATGATAGTATATAATAATGATAGTATATTTGGTATAGTTAATAATGCAAGAACAAAATGTGGTGAATTGATAAATTTTCCTTTCATTTTATTTCGAGAAGTCTAGAAGTCATAACGCTCCCAAATTAAATTCTGCTGTTCGCATCGGTTAGTTATCAACAAAGTAACGCTGCACATTAATTATAATTAAGTTTAGACGTTATAAACAACAGCTTTTAGGAAATCCTTTGAAGAAACCTGTGAACCCAATACATTGACTTTACTTCCAATTTCAAGATAATAAATCGACCAGAATCCCTCCCTTGCTCACCTTTTCAACGTGTAAGGCCAATATTTCAATTTCTTGTTCTGGGAGTGATTCTGCCAATAGACCACATTAGATTTTCATTTTACGCCCAAATATTGGTCTCGGTACGGGCAAAATTAGCATGTTTAGTAGACTCGTAATGCGAGTTGTTTTATGCCATAAATACACTCGAACGCTCAAGAAATTTGTTGGACAAGCGGATTCTAAGTAGTGGAGAGAATTCAAAAGATAACACAAACAAGTCGGAGTTGTAATGGTCTTTTAAGTAAAAGGTTTGCTTCTTAAACATTTATGTTTCCTACTGTAATTTTTCAGGAATTGTCAAATGAGTTTTTGTGAGGATCAAGAAGAATTGCAGAGAAGAGTGTTTGTAGTTATCAATCTGCACATAATCACTACTTATAAATACATGAATTATCGACGGACAGATTCTATAGCTAACAACAACGACAACAACAAACCCTAATTCTGTAAATGGGGTTTGTGGAGGGTAGTGTGTACGCAAATTTTACCCCTATCTTATAAAGATAAAGAGGTTGTTTTTGATAGACCTTCGGCTAAGGGAACAGTGGAGATAAATAAAGCAGCCAAGTAGCAAACAATGGTAACAACAATGCACTATGGTAACGAGCGCTAATGACGCAGCCTGTACTAATAAAGAACCATGATAAGATAATACAAAAGTAATCCTAAGCCTAGGAGGTATACACTTCTATCAGTCAACCTACAACTAGGGGTGTACATAGGTCGGGTTGGTTCGGATTTTATAATTACCAAACCAAACCATTTGTGTCGGGTTATTAAATCTAAAGACCAAACCTAACCAATAAAACTCGAGTTTTTCACTCTCGGTTTTTCTCGGGTTTTCGGGTTATTAGGATTTTTTCGGGTTTTTTTTCCTGTGAAATCTTCGTAGAACAAATATATAAATTGTGCTCAAAATATTTCTTTAATCCTAGTAAGATACAACTATATAAAGTATTTTTCAAGAAAATAATACAAACTATGAGATGCGTCATGGCATTATCCTAAAATATTCAACAATAAAGACAATAAAATTCTGTAAATATAAATATTGCTAATAAAAAGTCC